ATTTAAAAAAGCCCAAAACCTTCTACTGGAAAGAGAGTTAAGGTCTAAGATAACCAATTCACATCTGGTGATAATATAAAGAAGGAGGAGAGTTGATTACACGGATATATAGTGGTGAAATAATTACGTGTCTGTTTGATACATGTTAAAATTAATTACAGGAACCATGAATTTATAAAAAAAATATTCAAACATGCTCCCTCCATTTTTGAATATAAAAAAAATAAACTAACTCACGTAATTTAAAAAGTTAGTTAAGTATAATAATTATATTTAAAAATTTAAAAATTAGAGTAAATTATTCATGCAGTTGCAGTTAATAAAACAAATTTGTCTAATGAAAACAAACATTAACTTTATGAGGGACAATTTAAGAAAAATATGATAAATATTTTTTAAAATTCTAATCTTGCTTCTAAATAAAAATAAAAAGAAAACATGATAATTGTCTTATATTTAACAATGAGCAGGATCTTTTATATATCGAAATCAATTGCAGAGAGTCATGCAAGGAACACCGAAGGGTTGCCAGAGAAGTGTTTAAATTTGTTTTTTAATTATTTTTTAAAATACAAAACACGTTGGGTTGCTTAATGCAGGAGACAACTTAGTTGAACCCAAATTGACCAGTTTCAAAATGGGCTGATTTTTCAGCTGTCCAACTACATTTTTTTTTCCTAAAGCTAAACGAGCTGGGCTCATCTAAACCTAATACAAATCTTACAAAGCCTTGTCAATAGATTAAAACCTTACCAAAAATATATATGTTAACCCAAAAAAACAAAAAGAATGCCTTACCAATATCAATCAATAAACGTCTTATTTTTAAATCTCATCGGATATCCCCGAATAATTCTGCACGTTTTATTCTGGCTTAAGTTTTGAACCCTAAAGAAGTGCTATTAATCATCACTTTATTATTTAGACCAAATAACTGCCATTTTATTACAAATGATATTATAATATATGGATTGGATAGTGTTAAAAGGTGAATTGTACATCTTTGAAGGACGTTTGTTATTTATTTTATCATACATATTATCTGTATCAATAATCATCAATCAATCTCATTGGTAAAAGAAAATTAACTCTCATTGATTAATAGATTTTAGGCTAATATTAATATAAAAATTTCTCCTAATTCATTAATAAGATTTAATTTATTTCTCAATTTTTCATATATTTTTAGTATACTTTCACAGAAATATTGATTCAAGAACAATTTTGTTTTTAAGTTTCCTTAATCGCCAATATTAACTCCATCTAATTATCTTTTTGCATTCGTTGTACTTTAGAGAGAGAGAGATCTCTTTGAATTTTTTCTTGTATCCATATTTATGAAAATACAACTTATATCATAATTCATAAACTAATGTCTAATTTTTTTATGTAATAAAAAATGAGAATTTATTAAGAATTTTAAAAAAGTTTTTTTTTTTTGCCAATATTCTCTAAACACTCTAAGAACAGGTATTTTTTAGACAGATTTTTTTACTTTAGGCTTGAAAAATAAAAACAAAATGTATATAAATAAAGTATTTAAGAAAAAAAAATAATTAAATAAAGAAACTCTTAAAAATTTCACCATATTAAATGTGTCCATATTAATAATATTGATAGTATTTGTTTGAAGTTTTTTAATTTCATCCTGTAGAAAAACTGTCTAGTTAATTTAATATTTTGATATATTGGGAAAGATGGTTTTCGCTTTTCGCGTGAAAACGTAGAGTGAATCCCCAACCGTATAATAGCCAGCTAAGACTGAACAGGCCCATGATTTTATTCATTTGTCATGTAAGCCGCAAAGACATTCAGATTTTTTTTTTTTTTTAAAGGAGCAATAGGATCTGTGGGGAGGGAAATAAAAGGAATGAAGAATATACCCTGGGATTATCTAACCGTGTTAGGGCACGCAACTAACCGGAAGGTTAATGGAATGGAACCAAAAGCTTGTCGGATATGTGATAACTCTCAAAGAAAAAGAAAATTGCATTTTGATTTGCTGAAGAGTCAAGACACAGAACGCGGTCCAGTTTTTTGTAACTGCGTTTCGTGCTGCGGGAAAAACCAAAAAAACAAAAAAACAAAAAAAAAAAAAGAAAACCTGCGTTTCTTGGGTCTCCATCCCCATCCAATTCCTTTCCTGCGCCACTTTCGTCCTCGTTCTCCTGCCCCCTATCGCCTCAACAAGTCATCGTTTGTTAACTTTACCTTCATCTTAGGCATGCGACTTTTTTTTCTTCTTCTGCGCAATTTGTTCCTCTGTAATTCGAATCTCATAACTACTTGATAATGCTTTATTTTCTTGGATTTTTCTTTTCTTCTTTGGATATGATCGAATACCCATTGTGTTATATGTTATATTCGAAGTGGGTTTCTTTTTCTTATGGCTTCAAATTCTTGTACTTGTCCTTTCCTGGTTAGGTTGCTGTTACGCAGTCCTCAAATTTAGGGTCGAAATTTCAATTCTACTGTAAGTGCTATGCTACTAGTTGTGCATGAAGTGAAGGTGAACGCGAGGCAAGGTCACGGATTGCAATTATGGGGTTTCTGGAATTCGGGTCTCTTTGTGCTTGAATTCTTTTTTGAAATGCCTGTAACGCAAGTAGAAATGCCCATGGACTTTTTCGGTTCTGTAATTTTAGACATTTTTGAGAAACCTTGGTTCATTGGTTTTGGATCAAGAATCAAAACTGGGATCTGATTGTTATTCTCTTTATTTCCTTACTTTTCTTTGGATGTATCTTGTGCTTCAACTCTAAGGCTGAACCCATGCATAATCCCCTATTAGAATACAATTCCCTCCGTTTTTTTCAAACGATATGTTATTTAGTTTTCTGATTTTCTCCTTCTTTCCTGTTGATTTCAATTTGAACTTTTGCCTGGCAGGTCCAAGAGTCTAGTAAACCTTGGTGATTTATTTTCTGTGGCATAAACTTCCAATGAGATTCATATGTCCCTTAGTAGACCAATATGCTTTTTAACTTTGCTTTTGCTTCAGAGCATCATGTGTATGAGTCAAGACTATATGCTATAACATTCTGAGGTTAGATTTTAGCCATTGACTTTAGAAACTTGGTTTTCTTGAATGATGAGGAAATATTTTGCTGAGTTTTTTAATTGCAACTTGAAAGTTTAAGATGTCCAATAATGTGCTGGTACGACTAAAACATCAGCTACATGGGCAGTTTCTTCCTTGTTTTAGGATTATTATTTTCTTTTAGTTTCTATGTGACTCTAGGATGTGGCCGGAACAGTTAGTGTGAAACTTTCACGTTAAGCTAACCATTTCATAATCCGGAATTATTTTGTCCTATTAGTAGAATCATGAGACAGATATGTCTGGAACAAAGATCATAATCAAAGAGGATCTTTGGCTCTTCCCTACCACGTCAGCCCTTCAAGTTGTTTCCCCTCCTGTCCACCACAGGGAAACAGAAACTTCAGTGAGTCTTAGTCTGTCTCTTGGTATTACAATATAAATTAGTGTTGAACGGTCGATTAACCACTATAGAGTGTATTTTACTTTATGAAAGAGCAATGAAAGATTTAATGCAAAATCTTTTTTATTTCTCAGAGAGATTGAAAGGATGGGACAGGAAATAATTGTTGAAGACAATGACGTAGTGCTGGGGTGAGGAAGTGAAAGTCGGATGTCTAAGAATGCTTCTTACTTTATACTAACTTATTTTTTCAGTGGTTATGAGGGCATAAAATGCTTTCTTTTGATTTTATATGACTTGGTCATTATCTGTTCAAGACAAATTTTGGAATTATTCATTATTCAATAATACGATGGGATTTGTTCCAATTGAAAATTTCTGCAATCTTGAGACTTTCTTTTTGTAAGCGCTTTAAAGTTTTGGGGATTTTATTTTGGTTTAATAACTATAAAACATTTTGCTCTTATGAGAAACTGATTCAGAAGACACACCAAATACAAGGCTGTATAGGCTGTGACATGTTCCGTGCTGTGTGGTTTATTATTCAGCAATTTTTATATATGTGTCCAGATTATATAAGCCCTTTCAACACATTGGACTCAAGAAAACCATTCTTCAGCATTAATAGATTTGGATTTTAATTTCTCATGTGTTGCAGTATTAGTATACATAACTTGATATATGTTGATATTGCAGGTGGTTTTTCTATTTTAGCAGAAATCTAGTGCCAGAGGATTCGTAGCCACGGATGAAACAGTGATTATTATGTCTGGATTGATTGAAGGACTTCCTGATGCAGTTGCAATAAGGTGCCTTGCAAGGGTTCCCTTTTTCCTCCACCCGAAGTTAGAGCTTGTCTCTCGCTCTTGGCAAGCAGCCATTCATAGCCCTGAACTATTTAAAGCTCGACAGGAGGTTGGTTCATCTGAGGATCTGTTATGTGTCTGTGCTTTCGATCCAGAGAACCTATGGCAGCTGTATGACCCTCTACGGGATCTCTGGATAACTCTTCCTGTTATTCCATCAAAAATCAGACACCTTTCCCACTTTGGTGCTGTCTCAACTGCTGGAAAGTTGTTTGTGATTGGTGGCGGAAGTGATGCTGTAGATCCATTGACTGGCGATCAAGATGGGAGCTTTGCAACAAATGAAGTCTGGTCATATGACCCCGTAGTCCGGCAGTGGGCCCCGCGGACATCAATGCTAGTGCCACGTGTCATGTTTGCATGCTGTGTTTTGAATGGAAAAATAGTCGTGGCTGGGGGCTTCACTAGCTGCAGAAAATCAATATCTCAGGCAGAAATGTATGACCCTGAAAAAGATGTGTGGATTCAAATGCCTGATCTGCATTGCACCCATAATTCAGCTTGTTCAGGAGTGGTTATTGGGGGAAAGGTTCACGTATTGCATAAAGGGCTGTCGACAGTGCAAGTTTTAGACAATGGAGGGCCTCCTGGGTGGACTGTTCAGGAAAGCGGGTGGCGTCAAGGTCCGATGGCAGTTGTTGGAGGTGCCCTCTATGTGATGAGCCATGGATTTATCATCAAGCAGGACAAAGGAGAGAGAAAGATAGTGGGTTCAGCATCAACTCGAAGAATTGGGTTTGGAATGATTGGGGTTGGTGATGATTTGTATGTGATTGGAGGAGTCATTGGCCCTGACAGGTGGAACTGGGACATTAAGCCTTTGGCTAATGTTGATATTCTCACACCTGGGAGTGACAGAACAACCTGGCGTCAGGCATCTCCAATGTCACGGTGTCGTGGTACTATCCTTGGTTGTACGCTGCTGAGAATTTAGGCCATCATCTTGTTAGACTCTTGTAATTGTTCTCCTGCTGGGGGATCCGGATCCCTTCGACTAGAGAAAGAATTAGTTGTTTCCAAGGCCGGCTCTTGTTTTTGGTTTTAAGGGACATTTTCAAAAAATACCCCTTGACCAAAGATATTAAAAGAGAGAATTCTGTAGTTTTTGAAGTTTCACTGCAGTTATTAGGTACTGAATAGAAATTAAATTTCTGACAAAAATGACAAAATTGTCCCTCATTTAAATGAATAACTTGCAATAGATAAGATAACTTGTTCGTTCTTATATTGTATGCTATTTATTTAGCTATGGAATATTGTTAATTGCTCCACATCACTTGTTTATAGTCTTATGTTCACTTGATTTCATTCCAAGGACTATAAACAAGTAGTGAAGTAGGAAAATAAATAATATTCCGTAAGTAAATGAATGACATATAATATGAGAATAAATAAGTCATATTAACTATTATATGTCGTTCATTTAAATGAAAGGTAATTTTATCATTTCTGTCATAAATTTAATTTCAATTCAATAATTGCAGTGAAATTTCAAAGATTATAGGGTTTTCTTTTTTAATATTTTTGGTCAAGGGTTTTTTTTTTGTTGAAATTCTCCTTGTTTTAATCTCATGTGGCTATAAGGTGAGGCTTCATTTGAACTGAAACAATACAATAATTGAGCTCGATAAAAAATAAATAAAAAAAGGCAGATAGCGTAAAGAGATTGTGTTCTACAAATGTCTTAAAATGTTTGCCAACAATAAAACTAATAGGAGAGATTGTGTTCTACAAATGTCTTAAATTCGAAATGTTTATCAACATGAAAGCAAAACTAATGGGAGAGATTGTGTCCTACAACTAAACATAAACATTGAGTTAACTAAGAAATGAATATGCCTTTTCTCATGTATGAAGCCTCACTTTCAAGGCACTAATATTTGAGGGCTTGGATGATACACCACATTGCTAAATTCTGTTTTGCTTAGTAAGTATTGAATTACTCTGCTACCACAATCATTCAGAGCAAGAAGATATTCCAATAGGCAGTACTTTGTTAATATATTTTTGGCTAAACTTTACTTATTTAAAGTCCATTTGATTACTTTTATGGGAACCCTACTAATTAGGCAAAGGGAAACACAAAGAGCAGAAGAATTTGCAAATACACATTGACAAAAGTCCTATGTTGAAAAGACCAAAGATTATGAAGCATAGCAACGCATATAAAAGGAAGGTGAGGCTAATAATGTAAAACACACTAATTAGGGTAGGGTCATTAGGTGATGAGAATGGTTCGTGGCCTATGTTGGCAATATCCATTGTACTTTGGAAAGGTTGTAGTTGGGACCTGCATTCACATCACCCCTGTCTAGTCATTTTAAGCATTCTATATATGTAGCCCCCTTCAGGTAATGAGTCTATTCCTCTGTTGGGTTAAAATGGATAAATGGAATCTAACATTCTAATTAGGCCAGAATGTGGGTTTTAAATTCAATCCAAGAAGTAAAGGATCAGGATAAAAGTTGACATTTCATTTTTCAAAAACTTTGATTCCCCACACCTTTAGGTCTAGAGCCAGTAATTTGGGCAGTGTGAGCTTATTCAAGCCGGGTTTGACGTACCTAAATTTGTAAAAAAGCCTATATAGTTAGACCCAACCCTAACACTCATGGGCTTATTTGAGCCGGTCTAAATACTTGAATTTTTTTTAAATTCATTTCCCCCCTTTTTTTCCCTAAAAATGGGGATGGGATTTGTTGTGCTCCACAAATGCATGGTTCATGACAAATAATAAAGTGTAAGTAGAGTATCATTTTTATAAAGATTTGTTTAAAGACAATTGTCAAATAAAAGACTTAGCAAATTTAATCAAGTTGCTTTAGGTGAAGATGATTTTACAAATTAAATTAACAATAGAAAATAAAGTAAAGAGCATGATTCAAGACTTTTGAAAGTAAAGAGCATTATTTATTTCCCTTTATACTTTAAGAATACTCAATCAACCCCCAATATATTTTGCTCTTAGTGATAAATTATTCTAGTCAATAATACTAAATTACCCATAAGTACTCTCTCAAGTCTCCAAATAGGTGTTTAGTTCAATCAATCCTTTAATCTCTCAATTAACTAATTAAACTCTAATTTTCTCTGCAAGTTTTATGTGACTATGTGGGGTTAATGAGTATATCTCTAACTCATTAATAAAACCATTCATTCAACTTGCAAACTTGAAGTTCTTACATAATTTAACTCAAGTTTTATACTCAACTTAGCTCTCTCAAGCATTAATCAAGTGAACCCAAAAATGTAATTGATAGCCAATCAACTAGAAGCATTAAGTGTAGAGTAAAATCAACATAACCACATCATTAATCACAAATACAAAGGGAAAGGGATTGTTTAATTCATATAAAAGGTTCAAAATAATCCTAGAATTAAGGGTTTAGCTATAAATGTTCATAAAACCTATGAGAAAATACAAATATATCAACACAAATATTGAACAAAAGGAAGGGAGGGAGAAAGGAGAAGAATAAAGATATAAAGCCAAAATCTTTTTCAATCTTCAAACCAAGCTCAATCTCCACCAAAATTCTTGCCCTAGCACACTCAAAGCTCCCAAGATGTAACAACCCTCCTCGGGATCTCACCGTCACTCGAGGCACTGGACACTCTCCTCTCAGGCCCCACAATAGGGCGACCCCACCCCTTAGGGTGAGCATTAGGAGACAAAGACTTCTCCGCAGTAGATAGGTTCAGCCTCAACTTTGTTATGTAGGAGAGGTTAGAGGATCAAACCTGGGGAGGCTCTCCGCAAGAGAATAATCCTGCACACTACTGTGGGGAAGCCTTTATCTCCTGATGCTCACCGTAGGGGGTGGGGTCGCTCTGTTGTGGGGCTTGGGGGGAGAGTGTCCAGCGCCTTGGGTGACGGTGAGATCCCGAGGAGGGCTGTTACACAAGAAGTCCAAAATGGTGGCCAAAGTCAAAAATAGGTCATATATATTCCAAAACCCTAATTTTATCAACTAAATAAAATGTTTTGTTTTGCTGTCGCAACTTTAGGGTGACTTTGACAATTTTGTATTGTTTTTGCTATTAATAAAACTTAACCTTTATGTACTCGATTTCATTATCAAAATCTTTTCAAAAGAATCAACAAAAGTCTAGAAATATATCCAACCAAACCTTAAATTAAGATATCAATAAATTAGCTTTAAAATACTAAAATAGAGCCATGGTTTAAATTTTCAAAACAATATACATATTTTTCTAACTTGAGTATTCAAAACATGTACAATTGTGATAGATTATATTAAAAATTCAAGGAAAATATGCTCAAATGATATGAAATTCTAGAGGTTATTAGGATCTAATGCTTTAGATTTTCACATCTTAGCAACTTCCTTTATATGATTCATTTATGTGAGATTAATGTTGTACAAACCTATTTTATATGAATGGATATCTATCCTCCATTTTTATTAGAATTCTTTTTTTATTAATCCCCTGGATGGCTTCTCTTATTCTCTACTCAATGTTACCTTAGAGAACTAGTTGAAGAACCAGTTCTAGAGTCAAGAATATAGGTCAAGTTATACGAGTTTCTTTAAATAATCGATTATATGTAAAGCTGATAATTTAGGCCAAACCTACTAAGCTAACTCGAATAAGCTTGAAAATTTTTAAGGTTAGACTTGAGAGTTTAAAAAAAAATCTCTCTACTTTAGGCTTATTACGGCAACTTAAATAAGCCCACAAAAATTCAATTATAAATACTTGTGTCAATTTTTTTGAAACAAATCCTAGCATGCGTTCTCTTCTTTCTTCTTCTCATGTTCTCATAGTTGCATCTCAATGCGTTAGCCTCACCCTTCTCTTCCTCCAATTCAATTGTTTTTCACACGCTAGTTGCTTGTCTTTAACCATAACCAAACAATAACTCTCCACCCCAGTTTAAATTTTTTCTCTAGTTCTTAGAGGGCACGCTTATAATACCGAATCAAAGATGTAACATCTTAAAAAATTTAACTTAAGGTTAATTGAATAATTAAGGATAAGTTAGACAACTAAGACTTAACTTGGACTATAGCAGCAGCAGCAACAATAGCAGTAGGAGCAGCAGCAGTAGTCGTAGTAGTAGCAACAGCAGCAGTGGTAGTAGCAGTAGTAGTAGGAGTAAGAGCAGTAGTAATAGCAGTAGCAATAGCAGTAATAGTGATAGTAGTAGTCATAATAGTAGGTAGTAGTGGTGGTGATGGTAGTGGTAGTAATGTATGAATGGCTAATGGTTATATCGGATCCTAATTAGAGCTTAAAATTGGACCCTGGATGGTATTGGGTCATATTTGGGCTCAATTAGATAGACAATGTTTGAAATCTAAAATTTTAATCTTTGGCCATAGCCAAGAGTCAATTTTTAAGCTACCAGACTCGCTTTCAGATAAAAAAAGTAGAGTTTTAAGTAGGAGTCCAAAGGTGAATAAAAAGGTCCTTACTAGGGTTTGTTATAGACATCTAATTGAGTCTATTTAAAGCTTTTAATTACTTGGATAAATACTTATAACCTCTCATCTTCCTTTCTTATGCATTTTCACTATAGTTTTTGGGTAGTTCTTTAGGAATCTAAAAATGAATTGTGAGTTTGTCTAAAATTTTAACTTCAATAGGATTAATGAGAGTTTATTTTAAGTGTCTAACCTTTAAGTTATGATGCTATTAATGTTTTAGAATTTCAAGATGGGGTTTAAAGTAAACCCTAGAGCTAATTTGTTGAGCTAGAAAGATTATGAGTTATTAGTAATGTTAATTAGACTAATAAGAGTCTAAGTGAACTAATGAAATCTAAAAATAAATTTAGTTGTAGGTAGATGATTACAATAGGATTTTTGGGTTTAGGCTTTGATTATAGTTAATTAAGGATAATTAGTCATTAATGATTATTGGTGTATTTGATTGTAGGTTGATCATTATTGATGCTATTAAACTTATTGGATACTCCATTTAACATTCATGGTTACTCTTAGTTGGTAGACCAAGAGTTGAGGTAACTGAGAATTTTAATTATTGTATATTGT